AAGGTGATGTCCAAGACCTTCAAGATGTTCAAGAGCTAGACATCTCCGAAACTCCAGGTGGGAGGATTTACTGTAAGCCTTTGTGGTCAAGTCTTGCCAGGGTGTCACCAGACACAGTTTGTCACATGTCAATTTGGTTGGGTACTTATATTTTTAGCTGTTTTTGGCTAAACTTTTTAGCCAAAAAAAGAGGTTGGGTCCATGGTCGTTTAGCCATGGGTCCCTGTGTGCAACACATGGGGTTGGGTCCAAAACTTTCTGGCTAAATTGCTCCTGGTAGTTCATCGTACCTTGGGTCCCACTTCATTTAGCCAGAGGTTGAGGGACCCAAGGGGATAGTGTGTAGTGAGCCGGGGATCCTATGGACCACCTACGAACCAGCAAGTGGAGTACCATTTGAACGTCCATTCACCCACATACAACAAGACAGTCATCCAAACACAAGACCACTTTGGAATGACTCCTGAACAGTGGATGGAACCGCCAGTGAACGCACCAGTGCGAAGGCAGCACCGCTCTCGCACACCAGGTGGCCGTCGACCACGTGACAGGTCAATCGGTCCACCAACACCAGCAGCACCTGAGCTTGAAGATGCACCAGGCCCAGGACCATACACACCGAGGCAGGCAGTACCTTATGCACTACCTCTTCCAGAACAGACTGGCAAACAGTCAGCACAAACTCCAAGTCAGCAGCCTGGGACGACCGAGGTCATTGACGTGGATAAACTGCCAGACAGCGCACCATCACAACCGCATATGCCCAATTTCGAGAACATAGCTCCAACAACACCGCGCCAGACCTTGCGCAGGAAACACCCTCTAAGAGGACCAGTTCCGAGATGGAACAACCAATTCCAGCACAACCAACATCCAAGGCACTCGTGCTCAAGCGCGCACGGCAGCAGCGGTTGACACCTAGCACGGCTATCACCGCATGGCCACATCCAGAGCACCGGCAGACCAAACCCTCCGAGTTTGGGCACGTCGTGACGTGTCATCGCAGACACTGCAGACCACGCATCTCAACGGCCCTCCAAAGAGATGCATCCAGCACCGCCGAGCACTCGCCCTTCCAAGTGGCGAAGTGCTTTGGGACGCACCCTTTTCGGATGCCCAAGATGGGCTCCCCATTTCTCCAGTGCGCACCGACATGGTGACAGAGCTCTGGTATGAACCAGAGACACAATGGCCACATCAAAGCAACCTGGTGATCACGCCAGACGGCATTGCACAGCAACAAGACCACAGACGGCATCAAAGAAAAGAAGGAACATTTCGTTCACCTCTGTACCAGATAGTTGGTCACATCTACGGCTTGGCAAGTGCACCCAAGACATGGACCAACCATGTCACCAAGACACTCCTCAGTGCAGGCTTTCGCCAACACAGCCTGGACAAGATGCTTTTTGTCCTTTACGCCAAGCTCACGAGTGCAGAGCATGAAACGTTGGTTGCAGCATTGATTGCATATGTTGATGATTTTTTGTTGGTTCACAATGAACGTTGGGACCGCAATGCATTGACAAGCTTGTTTGAGTGGGGCAGCAAAGAAGTGCCCGCCTTGGACAACAGCATCGTCTTCAAGGGCAAAGAGCTGTCACTCCGCCAGCATGGCAACCAGACCTACCTGGCGTTGACTCAAAAGGCCTTCATAGAGGGCATGAAGGTTGGCAGCGTGCAGTGCAAGAAGAGGCTCACGGAGAATCCTCCCAGAGGACCTGCCAGAACTGCGATCCGTCGCAGGATGCTTGCAGTGGTTATCGGGTCAAACCCGACCTGACGTTTCAGCAGTGGTGTCATTGAGCAGTCGCGGCTCCAAGGCCACGTACCAGAACTTGCACGACGTGTACCTCGCAGTGGGGCACCGCCATGTAACAAAGGAGCAAGGTGTTTGCATTTGGCCGGTGGCCATCAATCTGCAGACCATGGTGGCCAACTACAGCGACAGCAGCTGGGCAAACGCGGTTGGAAGTGCTTCACAGCACGGCAATTTGTTGTTACCAAAGCTGTTGATACGATCAGCGCGGGCATGTTGCTGGATTGGAAGAGCTCAAGGTTGGCCAGGATCTGCAGATCCACGTTGGGCGCTGAGGCTAGCGCCTGTGACACTGGCATCGACAGAGCTTCTTTCCTCGCCTACCTCCTGACAGAGATCCTCATGAATGAAGCAAGCTTCAAGTTGAGCAGAACCCTCAAGATCATCTCGATCACAGACTGCCGTTCGCTGTATGATGTTCTTTGCAGCGAGAACCCTCGCACAGAAGACAAACGTACGATCGTTGTCATCCGAGGGATTCAGCAGCACGTCTCACGAGAACAAGTGTTTTGGGTTCCGACCCACCTTCAATGGTCGGACTGCCTCACAAAAGTGAGCGAGAAGCTCCTTGAAGGCTTCATGTCTTGGCTGAAGAAGCCTTGGATCCAGCTGAGGGGTGTCGGCAAGTCACATTCGTCTCAACAGAGTTTTTCGAGTGTGAATTTTAGCCTAAAGAGTCATGACAGCAGATGAGACGAATGCCGGTGGCCGGTCCCCCTCGAGGTGCGCACAGAGCCAGAACCTTTCGTTTGCGAACGAAACAAGCGTTGTCGCTTTCGCTTTTTGTTCCCCGGTTTGTCATAGCACACAATCCGGTCAGAGATTCAACACTTGGCCTTCGTGCGCTTGAGAAGTCCTTCTTTGACTTGTTCAACGGGTAGATTCCGACAGGTGATCACGTTTGCAATGCTCCGACAGGATCCCAAGACTCATGTCTACATGTGCGGCCTTAAGGGCATGGAGAGCGGCTTTGCTGAGTGCTTTCAGGCACCGGAAGCACCGGAGGTGTGTTTTTACATTATTTTTTGGTCCCGCAATGCCGCAACCTGTGAACAAGTAGCTAGCGTTCGTTGTGGAATGTTGCCATGTGGCCCCTGTTCTGGAGCGTGTCAAATGTCAAGGGTTTAAGAGGGTGTAGAAGAGTGTGGTCTACCACGGAAGGGAGGCAGTTGAGGGCTTAATACCTTGTCAGGAGCGAGTGGAGGCCGAGGGCATGGTTTATGCTGAGTTCTTGAAGAAAATGAAGAAGGACAAGCGTGGCCCGGCTATGATTTTTTTGGTCGAGGAGTTTGCCTTCCGCATCAGAGATGTGAGGCTACGGGAACAATAGACTACTCCAAACTCTTGCGATTCCTTCATCGAACACTTGTAGCACACAGCATGAATCTTTTCTATCTTGGAATTCTTTGAGGATGTCTCAAGTACATCAGGCATGAGCTGAGGTTCATCATCGTTCACCCCTCCAGCATTCCCAAGGGGTCACTTCTCCCAATCCCAAGCTGACGATGTGGGCACTGCTGCAGTCAGGTTATCACGTAGAAGTCTACTGAGCGGGCAGGTTTTAGACTTGAGGTTCGGATTCCGGCTGGCTGTGCCAGTTAGTGGCAGCTTGTCGGCGCCAAGCTAATTGAACACAGAGCAGATGATACCTGCCCCTGTAATATGACATCATCATCATCACACCAACCAACATCGGTTGTTTGTGTTTTCATATAGCGCCAACATGCAAGTCTCCAACTCGAACATGTTTGGCGACATCGCAGTGTCGCCATTTTCAGTTTGCCTCGAGGCAGCCCAAACAAATATTTGGGTGTAAAGCACTGCAGTTCAATTTTTCAACTGACTTGGGTCAGTGGCGACCGCTTTGGCTTCAGGAGCCATCTGCACTCCAAAGGAGCCAGACTCATCGTTCTTTAAACGTGCAGTGCAGCGCAATCGGATTTGGATCACCAACGTGTTTGCTTAATCTATCTCTTATAAATTCTTTGGAATGTACGGACCCAGAGCAAGGCACTGGTCCGGGAGCTTAGGCTTAGTAAACATATTGATCATGTGAGCAACTACGGAACACTACCGATGGTTCAATGTTTCTTTCAACTTGTGCCAACCGCAGCGTTTTCCACAAGACAAGCCACCGGCGGGCCGGGATTGTTCTACCTTGCAACTATGGCTCTGGAGACTCGGATTCCTTTTGTATTTACGTTGTTGCATGTGCCCACTTCCTGCCTGATATGTATAACTGTTTGGCGTGTTTGGCGTTTGTAGGCATCGTGAGGTACACAAGTGCCCGAGCCCCTTTCCTGTTTGGAGGGCAGGCAAGCTGAGTAGCTTTAATGAAGCCATTGCTGGTGTGCCACTTCAACTATATTTTGTCGAGCCAACCAGCCTTAGCAATGCGTATATAGGACTGTATAGGGTCAGTGCCAACCAGCCCTTGCAACCGCTCCATCATGAGTTTTGTTGTGTTGTTTTTAGCCCAGCTGACTACCCCAAAATATTTCAAGGATCATCAAAGCCTCTTTCTGGGAAGGTTGTGATATCAGTAAAGGCTGCGGATTTCTGGCTTAAAGATGCTGAAAGCCTGGGAACCTGAAACCTGGGAAAACCATTCATTCTAAGCCCGTGCATTGCGACCAAACTGAGGACCTGCCTGTGACTCGCCCGTTGCACTTGGAGGCCACACGGCCTGTGCAGGCAATTTCGGGCAATCATACGCATGTTGCGTTTTTGTTGTGTCCCCTTGCAGGGTAGCTTGTGGGAAGTCAATGCATTCTACCTTTGGCTGGTGTTTTGCAGCTTCCAAGTTTTTGATGTTGGAATTTCCATACATGATCACAGGCCCTCACCTGGTTGTTGCCAGATCTCCACTTTGGCGTTGGGATTCGATAACAGTGTCCCAAACGGCTGATTTGTAAGGCAGAGGTAGAACATTGACGAACAATGATGGCTAAGATCGTCCAGACATTGTCCAGACTCCGGACCTTGTTGAAAGATTGGCAGCTTGACACTCATTTCAAAGTATCTATGCTGGTATCTTGTTGGAAACTTGAAGTACTTTGTGCAAATACCAGGGGGCAAGTGCCACACATGTATGTATATCACAAAGATTGGCAACCGCTTGTTCCATACCTCACCAAGTCAATCAATATGCTTCAATGGCATACCATGTTTTTTTGGTCATGACGTGTTATAATTCATATATGATTATTAACATGCACATGGGCACACTATATAAACCATCGAAGTGCAAACTGCAAAACAGCTTGCACAAAGCGCAGCAAGGGCTTTGTCGTGAAACAGCTATGATTCTTGACCATTCGCCTCTCCTAGTTTGCCCATCATACAGCTTCACGATCCCTATATAGTTTAATGATGTTTAATGAATCTGTTAGGGTTTTATTCTCCAAACAGTGTGGGCACACTGAGGGGTTCTTACGGTAGTAGAAAAGCAGCTGGTGCTTAGATCGCTGTTCCGCGCGGGCATGTCCGGCTAATTCGCTGCTATTTACAGTACATTCATGACTCTCGACATGGTCCATGTGCACTTCGACTGCGCAGGCTCGCTGAATCTGGGTGTTTGCGGCGGGTGCTTCTAACGACTGCGCTCTCGTTGTGGCGCCGCGCGCATTTTCGCACATGGTGGTCACTTTTCGTGGCAGGCGCAGGGGAAACCTCGTGTTTTGAATGGTGCTCCAAAGTCGACTTTTCGTGACAGGTGCAAGGGATCGGAGCTGTTTTACTTCGAAATGCAGTTTTCGTGCATGTGTAGCACCTGCAGGTACCAAACTGGGGGTTGGGTGTATGTTTTACGCCCGGGGTGTATTGTCCAACCATGATACGCCCCAGGGTGTATCTCCACGTCAAGATACGCCCCAGGGTGTATTGTTCCACGACGCTTTGCCCCGCCTCCCTTTCTTCCCGATCACGCTGACTGCGGTGAATATTTTCCTTTGGTTTGGGACGTGCGCCCCGGGCTGATGCCGGTGATGCCGGCCGGGTTGGCGATGAAATCCGGGGGTAAATTTACCACCCGCTTTTGGCGCGGAACGAACAGGAAAATTGCCAGGTTGCGGGCTGGTTTGTGGGTTGCGCGTTTAAAATCTTGCGACCCGCAAACTTAGCACTCGTGCGCGGACATGTCAAAGCAACTTCGGGGAAAATATGTGGTGATTTGCGAGGTGGTGAGTTGTGGAAAAACCAAGCAAGTGTCAAACGTCTTTTTAACTTGTTTTGGAATATACTCGCGCCGCATGTCAAACAATTATATAGTTAGATTAGATAGATGTCAGCTGTGTGGCTGTGTGTGAGGGTTTGTATACTTTGTTAGTTATAAGCGCGTGCATGCAATTGGGTTTTGCATGCCATGGTTGACACATGTTGCACCATGAAGTTTCACACTGACGCTTTCATGTAAAAGATTCCCCCCTGTGGGGCTTCGGCCTTCATTGATAAGATCATATGTTGTCCACTTTAGTTCACATACAAATACATGTGCGTGGGTGGTTTCAAACACTGGCAAGTGCAAGTGTCTTTCTTCAAGTTTTGGCTTCAGTGCACGGGTTTGGCGAAGCCATTAATTTCCCGTGGAGGCCTCGTGTGTCAGAAGCTCAGCTTCCGAGTGGATTTCCTAAAAATTTGGACATCTGCAGGATGGCCCGGTGAAGCTTCATGGGCTCCATGGAGCTGGTGATATATGAGGCTGAACTGGCTGGTTTATTTTTTTAAGCAACAGCCGCTGCAAGCAATAGGTTAGTTGCGCAAGAGAGTTTAGATCACCATTCCCAATTTTGGAATCACTACGCAGCCATTGCAGCATGATTCCCAAAATTGTGCCTCCACGGCCGCGTGGGCCACGTCCTGACCCATGGATTAAGATCAATGAGCCCCCGCCACCTGTGCAAGCTTCTTTCCTGCGTTTCAGCTTTGGTATAGAAGATTAGGAATTGGCCTATAATGTTCATTGTGAATTGAATGAAGCGTTGCCCGAGGCTAGGTCGAGTTCTTCTGCTGTCCAGAGCAACTCCGATACAAACATGGTCCAGCAGGCCGGGCGTGCACACGAAGCGAAGGAAAGTGCTGTTATGTCGGAAACTGTAACCCTTGTGTAAGAGCCTTGCGCGCGCACCGGCGGAAATGATGGCGGCCATGGCCATGTCGCTTCATGCTGAAGCATGGACTGCCCAGCGCCAAGCACAGAATTATGCAAAGGCAGCCAAGAGAACTTTGAAAATGATTCAGGGAGTGGAGGAAGCCCGGAGAGCCAATATCGAAGAAGTTTTTGGCCATTCCAATCAAGCCACTGCCCGCTCGATCTTGAGCCGCAAAATCCCGTGGTGTTGTTGCGGGGACCCCGACTACAGGTGCAGAAGAGGCCACGACCATCCATCCAGGGGGCTCAACCGTTCTAGAAGAGGCCACGACCATCATGCCTGATGAGTCCAATTACGCGGCGACAGAAGTGCCTGCTTCATTGGCTCCGACTTCTCCTGCTGATGCATATTGTCCAGATGTTATGGACGATGAGGATGATGTGGCTGAGCCATACTTGAAAAAGTTACGGAAGGAGTAGGCCTCATGAATTGAGCCGCGCAGGAAAAACACTTCGCTGGAGGGAAACATTGGAAAAAGGGTTTTCGGTTTCCCACCCGCTTTTCAACATTCCAATTAGGTTTTGTGAGCTCGATCCATGACAGGTCCGACGAGCACTTTCAAATCAGATCGGCTTCTCAGGCCTGAGTCGTTGGTTTCCATGTGCGTGTCAACATCTGTGAACTGTGCGCGATATGGTCTAGGGTTTGCTTGGCCAATGCTCCTTGTGTGCGCACAGACTTTGCAGGATGAAGCGGCGGCGCATTTTATTGGCAGGACTGTGTGGGAGTCAGTTGTAGCTGCGCTCAATTTGCTGAGTGTGACTTCTTTAAGTATGCGCAGCGGTTACAGTTGTGAATGCCTCGCAGCGCTGATTCCAGCCATTTCGCATATGGGGAAGCCAAAGGGGATTGTTGAGGTCGTTTTAGACGAAGAGCAGGTCGCAACGCGAAAATGAAAGAGTTGATGCCTGACACAGTGAAAGGTGCCATGCATGCAGCTCCATTGAAACTGTTCAATCAGTATGCCACTTCCAGCAACTTGTAAAATACAGCTACTGTTATATATATATATTGGCAGTTCGGTCTACTTTCCGCGCAACTGCGTCTAATGAAACCAAACTGCTGCATTCTGAGGTAAGAACCTTTCCAAAGAGGCCATTGAAGACCACTCGTGGGCACTCAAACCTATTGCGTTGATATCTCCTTCACAACCAGTGCATAACAACAGTCTCTTTGCGGT